TATGGGATGGGATAAGCTGATGCTCTTCCGCGCTCATAACTTACATCGACGTGAGGATCTAGCCGTCCTCGCCTTAGTTGAGGCAACACCGCATCAGAGCTTATTTCTTTAGCCAAAGAACGCAAACACTCCTTACGGTTTCCTTGAATGGCCGCCTAGAATAAATAAATATTAAAGCCCAGTGAAGTACGGAACACCCTACTACTAGCATCCGAGGCTAGCTCTTCTAGGCTTTTTCGCCATGCACCATGTATTGACTCAAGCTGATAGCGTGCTCCGCGGACTGGTGGCCCCTCCTCTAACATCCACTATCAGTTGGAGACTATGGCACGGTCCAACTCACGTAGGAGATTCCTGATAAAATAGTCCATTTTGCAATTTCTATCCCCATCAGTCCCTGTGCATTTACCGCCCTTATTCACACTACCTACCCGCATACTCATAGTCGATTTTTCTGTGCCACATGTACTATACTAGTCTCATATTGGCAAGCTTTGCCAGTCCTTGACTGCCAAATTGCTAAGCATGAATCCACCCCTATCCTAGCTCATTTAGTTACTTGCTGTCACAACACTGGGATGGACTTGAAGTCATCATTTTTGTCTTGCTAGGCTACACCCTATCTGAAATCTCCTGAAAATCACCACGTATTACTGATCTTTTCTTATTTGCTCCTCTTCCAAAGCTTGGAACGCCTTGTATCATCGGTGTCTACTCCAAATGGTCTATTATCTGGTGAAAGTGTCTCCAAGTACATTCCATATCGGATGAAACAATCACCGGGATATGCAGCAATTGCCACTGAGCGATTCTTTTCTTTTTTACTGCCCAGCAATACCCAAAACAATCCTCAGAGCTATTCCCTTTATTCCAGACTTATCGGTCATGCTTACGACTGCTGGGCGAACCGAAGAAATCAGGAGGCATTCTAGTCGTCAGTTGTGGGCTACTAGATTAATCAGGCTAAAATTCTATCACTTGTTATGGGGTGAGTTATTCGCTCCTTATCAGGCCAACGAGCCTGTAATGACGCAGAAAGAACACAGTAGCTGTCGAATACGATTCCGTATTATGTACTGAACATGGATTTGGAAGAAACTGGCGTGTATTGTTGCAGCATGGGCACTGAGTGTACCAGCACGATGAAGTCCTTTGATTGTCCATAGACCTGTTGAGTCCTGTACCATGTGTGCGTGTTAGTGTGTCAGCCACATCGAAGTACTGGTGTGTTCATTGCATACAATGGGAAGTCACAAACGGTCATTCACACTCGACAGCTGCACAAAAACAACTTTGCCTAACTAAGCAAATTGGAGCCGCTTCAAGATCAGCACTATATGCGCAAAGGCGAGCAATCCGAACGAGCCGGCAATTAGTCAACCAGTCGGGAAATGCGCAATGCTTTGGAATATATTCCGTAGATTCAGTTCTGAACAACTTTTGGTGTTTGACACCAAAGCTTCGTTAGGCCACGTGACTACGTAGCGAGGTTGGTCGGGACGTAGTGCAGAAGGAGAACCGATCAGCAAGTTCTCGTCCACTATCAAGCTTAGGGATTTTGTTTGCTCAGGTAGGCCCGCAAATATTAAGGCCAATTTAGAACTTACATGGATCTCACATGGGTCATGTCCTTCCGGTTCGCTCCTCATGAAGACCATTCTTGAATGCCCCTTAGAATTTTCGTCCGTCTGTGTGGCCGAGCTTGTGCTACGAAATTCGTGTGAGAGAGGAGGTGAATATTGGTGAGGTTGGAGTTTCTACTCCTGCTAATTCTCCCATGCGTGTAGATCCGTGAGGGATCGACTCGGCCTAAATAAGACCAATAAGTATACGCTCACCAAATCTACGTTGACGGTTCAATTCATGCTGGCAATGTGGCAGTATGACATCACTCGTATGTTGCAGGTTTGTTCGAGATCTGAGGCAGAAGGGTGATTGATGTGAATCTGCGCCATATTTCGTGTCTAATCCATGCCGCGCCATCACATGGTCCTTGCAGGGCGCTTGAAATTAGTTTACGCTCCTTGGTCGTTTGTATACCATCCTGTAATGTCCGCGACTACGAACCAGTAGATATGAGGACTAAA